CTTCTAGTAGTCATGATTATGCTTTTTTTGTTAAGTGCACTGATGCAGGTCGTATCATTCTGTCTTTATATGTTGATAACATAATTATTACTGGTGATGATATTAATGGTATTTCAGTTTTGAAGACAGAGTTAGCTAGACAGTTTGAAATGAAGGATTTGAGTTCTCTACGATATTTTTTGGGTATTGAGGTAGCCTGCTCACCCAGAGGTTATCTTCTTTCTCAGTCGAAATATGTTACAGATATTCTTGAGCGAGCAAGACTTACTGATAATAAGACTGTAGATACTCCCTTTGAGGTTAACACAAAGTATTCCTCTTCTGATGGTTTACCTTTGTCAGATCCTACTTTATACCGTACTATTGTTCAGAGCTTGGTATATCTCACTATTACTCGTCAAGATATTGCATATGTTGTTCGTGTTGTTAGTCAATTTGTTGCTTTTCCTACTACAGTTCATTAGGCAACGGTTCTTCGTATTTTGAGGTATTTTTGGGGTACAATCTTTCAGAGCCTTTTACTTCCATCCACTTCTTCCTTGGAGCTGTGTGCAAACTCTGACGCTGATCATGGCAGTAATCCCACAGATCGCAAATCTGTTACTGATTTCTGTATCTTTTTGGGTGATTCTCTTATTTCTTGGAAGAGCAAGAAACAATCTATTGTTTTTCAATTTTCAACCGAAACAGAATATCGTGCTATGACATCTACTACCAAAGAGATTGTTTGATTACGTTGGTTACTTGCAGATATGAGAGTTTCTTTTTCTCATCCCACTTCTATGTATTGTGACAACCGGAGTTTTATTCAGATTGCTCACAACTCGATTTTTCATGAACGAACTAAGCACATTGAGATCGATTGTCATCTTACTCGTCATCATCTCAAGCATGACACCATTACTTTGCCCTTTGTTTCTTCTTTTTTGCAGATTGCATATTTTTTTACTAAGTCGCATTCTATTTCTTGTTTTCGTTTTCTAGTTGGGAAACTCTCGATACTTGTCGCTGCTGCATCATGAGTTTGAGGGAAAATGTTAAGAAATATAGGGTTATTTTGTTTATTAAGGGTAGAATAGTCCTTTATTTTTCCTGCCTTGTTTAGCTTATATATAGTCTCTTTGTATTTAGGTTAAATTACTTCCTTGTATTTCAATTCAATTATGCAGTATCAATAAAACTCTAGCCTCCTCTTTTCTTATCTCTTGTATTTCTTTAGATTGTTCAACAGTTACTACTATAATATATATATTGACGGGACTTTAGACGGCTCAATAGCCCCCAGACCAACGCGTGTAAGGAAGTAGCCATTATGAAGCTCAAAAGACGCCAAGGAGGGGAGGCGAGTAAGAATGGCTCGGAGGAGCTGAGTACCTATATTGACACCTGCATTTAAGGTGACTTGACAACACATTTATGACGATGTGAGTGACTAAGATTGGGTTATTAATGAGTGGCTGCACTCTCGAGACCTAAGTCTAGAGTCATGAGTGCTAGGCATTAATGACTATCGCGTCGAGGATATCTTCTCGGTATATCTCAAGGTACTATTCGCCGAGCATTAAACGCTCAGGAGATAGGTGTCAGACGTCGATCAGAGGAACTTGAGTACTTCGGGAATAGGCAGAATTGCTCGGCATGGCCCCGGGCACTTGTCTTATCATCCTAGCATTAAAGATACAAAGATCTGAGTGGATAACACTCATTGCACGTGGGTAAGAGTGCTGGACGTTAAATGTTAAGATGAGACTTGAAATCTTTGCATTCATTGCTAATTCAGGTATAAATACTCTTCAGAAAAATGAACAAAGGTACGCAAAACTGAACTGATATAGAGAAAACACTGTGCTTTAACCCTCAAACCTATATTGACTTAAGCTTCAGAGATGATAAGTCAGGTGTTCACCCGATCCCATTTCTGACCTTATGGTTGTTTCAGGTTCATCATACAAGAGATCGCTACCTCAATCTATTGCAGGAATTCTCCTGTGTATATATATATGAGAAATAGAGAAATAAATAGTCCTACTTTATATATAAATATAGATAGATATGAGAGAAAATTTTATTGTTAGTCAAATTCTTAAAATTTAAGAATTATTAGTTTTCAAATTTGTTTTAATTAAATATAACTAATGATTATATCTTGGACAATAAATATCAAAATAGACTTAATATTAAATAAGTTTGTTTGATAGACTTATTACCGAATAAATCTACAAAGAGAGACTGACCTCCAAATTTTTCTCTTTTTTTTTCATGAAATTAAGCTCAATTACCCAAAGCTTCAGACATTTAATAAAATCTAAAAACCAAAAAATAAATAATAATGCTATACTGACCAAATTTTGAAATCAAATTTAAATTGAAAATAACATGACAATATTATTTGGAGTCTTGATTGGGGCTCAAATGATATGACACCAAATAAAGAAATCCAAGTCAACTGTCATGTTATTTGAGCTCTAAATTTGATTCTAAAATTTGATCAATGTAGCATTATTAAAATATAAAAATCAAACTAAATACATATAAGCTGGTCCTAACAGTTATAAAAAAAAAAATACCCGCCCAGGACAATTATACATCACCCAACGCTGCAAAAGAAGCTGGTTCATTGCGAGGAAGAACACCATTACTGAAACCGTTACAACAGTTTTCTTTTTGCCTCCATTTCCCAACTGAACAGTTTAAGCTATTCGCTTGAGGGCTGAACTAAGACTCTTCACCACATCTTTCACTGTCATGCTGAATTCTTTTTCCATCTGCAAGAACATACATACATGAACAGAATTATAACTAAGTAAATAATTACATCAAAATCTAAGTGATCGGTAGTTGTATTGGGATATAATTACCTCGGTGATAATGGTGATATCAAGAGCCAAACCTCCAAACTGAGAAATACTGGTATTAACCACACCCAGATTCAGCTTTTCGATCTGAGTCAGTATTTTTGCCAGAACTCCCTTTTGTTTCTCGCAGTGAATCCTCAGAAGCACGTTTTTGTCGCAAACTCTAGCTTCAATTTCAGGGAGTGACTCGTCGGAGCTGCCTCCGAAGTTCTCGTCGGAAGAACTCTCATCTTCAACTACGAGCTGGGATTTCTTCACAAGTACCACAGATTCCATGGTTTGCTTCGTGGCTTGTTCCTCCAACGTCTTCACTCGCTCTTGGAGTTGTTTCAGATACTTAATTGCATCTCCAAGAACAGAAGTTTTATCCATCTGTTTGATAATAATAGATGGAGCAGACTTTCAATACAGATCTGCATATACATAAATATAAAAGATGTGGAGCTCCAATGTGCCCTACTCTCAACATAATAATATACTATGTTATAAAAGAGCGGATACTCTTTTCGACCTCTACTGTTTAAATGATGGGGTTGAATATGGACTATCTCTACTCTCTTTTAGTTACAAACAACCTAAGTAAAAAGATCATATCCCTCTATTCTCCTACACTCAGCAGACAAAGAAATGTGCTGCTATCAAATCACAGTTGTCTTCTCTCCAAAGACCACTTACCTGTTTTTCATCACAAATCACTGCAAGAGATCTCTTTTAATTTCCTCCATATTTTTTCTGAAACTTTCACCCATTTCTCTTCTCCCCCTCTCTCCCGCTTCCAACTCCGGCGATGCAGCGGCTTCAGCAACCCATCAATTCCGACGGCTCTCTCGGTATCTAAAGTTAGAGTTAATTTTTTGATCTAATTCACTATAGTTATTAGATTGACTCGAGACCCATTAAACATTGAAACTTAATATTAATTTAATAATTATAATAAAAAATTAAGTCAAAATTTTATATTCCAACAGCATTACCTTGGAATTATTGTCCCTTTCTTTTCACTTCTCTCTGAGCATTCTTTCCTATGTGATAGATGAATCAGTTTTATTTGCAGTAGTTGATTGTTTAAAAATGAAGAAGAAGAAACACCTTTTTGAGGCCGGGAACAATGGCGGAAAGAGCAAGGAATCGTTGGCTGAGCTGCTCACGTCGCTTCCTCTCTGCTATTATGTGATCGTAAGTCTGCGACGGTGGCCTAATACGAGTGCTAGTCTTCTTGGTCACTTCGCTTCTCTTGGTTGCCTCATCAAAGTTCACATATGCACCCTGTGACATTATAACATCAGACACCACCTCGTCCTCAGAGGTCATGGCTCCTAGAGGAACTTGTTGAGGATTTTCCGGTAAATTCGTGTTGCTAAAATTGAGAATGATTGGAGTAGAAGAAGGTTGATCAAGGTTTGGCATGTTGTTAATGGTGTAACAGGTATAACTGTTCGCCTTTTGCTGCTTGCCAGGCCTTTCAATGGCAACTTGAGGAGCTTCCATGTTTGATGAAGCACATAACATGGTGGTGGAGCTGCTACTTGGAATCAAAGTGGAGGATGATGAATAGCTGTCTGAGGACAAACAGTTTTGAAAGTCCTCTCCAAGTGCAGCTGCTAATTCTTCTCCAAAAGGGTCCATAATTTCGCATTGATCAAAGAAGATTGAATCGTCCATCTCCTGTTGAAACAATTCATTAAAATCATATTGATAATGGTGCTTCTTTTTTTTGAGCGGTTAATTTATTAACCTCATTTTTTTTTCCTAATCCATCTAAACTAGTTTTTAAATTTGATTCTTTCATTCATATATCTCATTAGTACTACTATTTCTTAAGTTCAATTTATGTTCAAAACTATTACAATCAATACAGGCTAGGGTATGTCTAATTCGATCTGCCTCTGAACAACCAAAATTGTTGTGACACAATAATAAAACGCGATTATGTGATTTGGTTCTTTCATTCATATATTTCATTAGTACTACTCTTTCTTAAGTTCAATTTATGTTCAAAACTATTACATTCAATATAGGCTTGGGTATGTCTTACTCCATCTGTCTTGAAACAGTCAAAGTCGTAAGTTTTTTTTTTTTTTTTATTCAATGGTGGATAGAGTATTTATAAAGGATAAATACCTTATGAACTGGTTTTAAAAGGTTGCCAAGATTTAAATTCATGATGTTTGAATTTACGGTTCATTCCTATTAGCACTTGAACTACCTTTAAAGTTAAGAGCAAAAATAATTATGGTGCAATAATAAAAGGTGATCATGTGGTATCTTTTATTTTTTTGTGAACAAGATCATGTGGCACCTTCAATGAATAGATATGAGTATGATTGTACATGTCAATGGAGAAAAAAGAAACAGAAAAGGAAAATAGCTATGATATATTGTTGCAGATGGAACTCATAAGCATGTGCTCATTTGATCTTCCATGTTAACATAATATTGTCAACTTGGTTCAATACTTCCAAGGTCAAAAAACGCCTCAAATCAATGTCAACTTGGTTCATTCTTTAGGAGGAAATTTTATTTTTTTTTCTTTAGGAGGAAAATAAAGCAGTGTCTTGAGAACATTTTTTCATCGTTGCTTTTCTTTTTAAACTTTTTTCTTTGGCTCTTCAATGTCATTAGAAGATCATTTTACTTTAATCGTTTGTATTTTTTTTTTTTTT